CAGTGGCCAGGATTTATTATATGATCATACACAATAGACAGAAACCTGTAGAACCAAAATGCCTCCTTCTTGTGCTGGATGAACCTAGGCTGAGAAGCAGGCCTAGAGGCTGAGATGCTGCATCTGAGGGTCATGTTTTTTCTGACCCTGAACTTGTCATGAGACGGCACGGCCTTCTTGAAGAAGCACTTGTCGTTCAAGTTAACAGCAGTTGAGGCTAAGCCAGTGATGAGCTTTGGATTTTGGGCTCCATTGAGCATTAAGGAGGCCATGACTGATATATATGAAGATAGGACAATAATACTACAGTTGCAACGAATGGCACATTGCGTGTGGAAAATGGAAAGCAACTATTGATGGTTTATGTCATGAAAACAGGAGAGTAACAGGGTCAGTGGAGCAGTGAGAGAGAATTGCTGGAAAGGGCGGTAGAGGTATAGTTGTGTAAGTAAGAATTATGCGGTGAGAGAGAAAGACAGATTGGTAGATGTGCACCACATATCCATTCTGGAGCTAGCTGATACTTCCCACTTGTGCCATACAATCACTTCAATTTCATCCGCTTTGGATTTTCTCTATTGACTAGTTTACATCACCCTCCATAATTTTTTAAAATATTATATGCTTTTAATCATTACTTAAATTTCATTCAACACTATTCATAACTTCCCTATACTACTAATCTTAAACAAATATTTTTTTATAATTTACATTTTTGCGAATAATATATTTTAAAAATCATATTTATTTAATATCAATAAACGAATATTCTGGGATGTTTTGCACTTCCTTTTGAAACCGGTAATGAGCGAATTTACGTAATGCTTTACCTAACACGTGATTATGAGCAAATATAGTTGAATTAAGAAACAAATTGTACGAGTGAAATAGAATATGTATATATCTTTGTCAAAACAAGAGCAGAGTATTGATCCTACGAGTGAAATAGCGTGTTTTGAGATGATTTATGGCTCCTGAACTTGCTGTATCTCTGATTCAGATGGTTTGGGAACTTCCAGAATTTCAGATGGTTTGGGAACTTCCAGAATTTCAGATGGTTTGGGAACTTCCAGAATTTCAGATGGTTTGGGAACTTGCCTGAGCTGGACGGAGTTTTCATAGCAGTTAAAGAAGCCATAATGAGGGAATTTCTCGTACCAGGTTTCTTCATTAACGTGTGTGTCCCAGTGCTCCCCAGAACTGCTCTTGCCGTACTTGTGAATCCAACCAGAGCCATTGTGTTGCTCACCCCAGGTTCGGTTCCACCGTTCTCCATGCTTACCCTCCCACCAGCTCTCCCCCTGCTTCACGCCGTGAGCATTTGGATCAAAGTTTTCGTCCCATTTGTCACCCCATTTCTCCCATCCACCTTCCACTGATCTTTCAGCCCATTTGTCAGTGTATTTTATGCTCCCACCATACCCGTCATATTTGCCACCCCACCTGCCAAAATCATTTCTGTTCATCAAAATCTCAACATCGAATTCTCAAACCACACACACAAGATCCCTCAGAACCACTCCTCTCATAAATGCAAGCAAATAATATATTCTTTCAACTTTTAATCATGTCAGAAAATCAAGCTTCACCGAAAAAACAAATTGCATAAAGCTTAAACATCTTGTTTGAAAAATAACTCTAAAATACTCTGATGAATTCATAAGCTTAGACAGAGTTGACGTTCTGACTTTGAAAACGTATTTCCTTGAATTTGTACAAATATATTATCGCAGATTAAAAATTTTTGGTATGATGGCATGAATCACATAAACGGAGCTCAGAATAATTCAGTCCGTGCCACCATTTTCTGAGTTCTTAATCCTCCCAAAATTGTGCAAAGTATCATTTGCAGTCGACGAGTCTTGAACAAATATACACTTCAATTGATTATTGAACATTTTAAACAGTAAGGTCTAAATACTTTAAAAAGAGCATTCAAATTCCAATATTGACAATTACCTTTCATGCCAAACATGGGCGTGCCCTGGTTGAAGTGGTGTGTTTGGGTCAATACTGCACCACTTGTCTGCCCATTTTTCTGATTGACCAGCGGCATTGTAGCGTTCCCCCCATTTTTCCTGCCACTCATTACCTTTACCATTACTTCCCCACTTGTCTGCAGTTTTCTCAAAATTCATAAGCCCATTTTCCTGCATGGGAAAACCATACTTCGTATGATTATACTGAAATGAAAGAACGAATCTGTTGTCCAAGACCTATTTACTGATGTGGCTACAACTACAACTAACGCATCAATAATTGGCAAGGTACGGTAGAGACCAGTTACAGAGAGTTTGAACGGAGGCAGTAATGATGAGTTCTAGAAATAAGCCAATCGTATTTCAGCAAACTGTATGAGAAACTATAATAAGAAAGCTATTTATATGCAAATTAAATGTGTCAAATTTTGCTAACCAGACTCATGGATTCTCTCCAAAATTCGCGCCAAACATTTCCATATGCGTCACGGCCAGATTTCTCAGAACCAAGTTCCTTATAGCCAAAATCATCAGAAGCCTCCCAGTACTTCTCTTGCCACTCAATCTCTTTGTCGGCACTAACACCTCTGGTCATTGTCCATCTGCAGATCACGCCATCAGGTCTTCGCTCAATTCCAGTGTCTTTCCACCATCTTGTTCCATCCGGATTCACTCCAATGGGTGACCATTTACTGGCCTCACTAAGGGCATTTGCTGCTTCTTCGGCATAGCCAGAACAAGATTCACCAAGTAACTGTTCCTCTTCCAGGGTAAGAGACGAGGAAATTGACTGTGGCTCAGATGCAGAATCCGCTTTCTCAACCTCTAAAAATGACTGAAATGGTGGAAGAGTGTCACTCTGTTCGCTTTGAGAAAGTAAACTCTCAAATGGAATAGTGAGAAACTGCGGTGTCCGCTCCTTCTCCACAACTGCACTGGGTAAAGTTGGACGAACAGAAGCCTTGGTATTTAGCTGCAACCCACTGTCCTGATCTGAGGGAACGTCGCTTTCCACGGGAGGAGTCCAGGACCAAAAATCAGGGCCAGGCACACCATGTCCCTGAGCTGCTGACTCTTGCACAGGAATAACCCCACTCCGCACTCCGATTCCCGAACCCAATTCTATCACATAATTAACAAACAAAGAAAAAAAAAACAATAAATGAGAAATCGACACTTTCAATAACATCTCTCAAGTATAGTATCAATTTCTTAGGGAATAAAATAAACACAATAGCATCTTCACAGAATATGAGATTAATATACCATGTAACCTCAATCTCAGTGCTAACTTCAAATTTTGATAACTAGAATACAAGAAATCAATAGTAACATTTCCATTAGAAATAAAACTAAATCAAACCACTCCATTTCTTAGTTAAGAAAACCCAGCGAAAGAATCTTCACAGAACGTTATATTGCAATCTTCAGAATTCAGGCAATTCACAAACCATGCAACCTCAATGCTACAGAAGCATTGATTTCCTTATTATTGTGTTTGCCGTTCTTTATTAAAATAAAAGAACGCGGCCGCATTCCAAGATTACCAACGCAGACAGATAACAAAAATGCAACCAAAATTTAATTGCAATATGTAAAATATTAGAAACCTTGATTTTCTTGATTTTTAATTATCTTTCTTGATTATTGAGTGATAATGTAAAAGACTGAAAGAAAGAAGCGAAAGATATCGAAACAGGTAATTCGGTTATACCGCGCTGTTGTTCGTCGTGGCCGTCGTAGCCGTCGTCGCCTTCGTTGTCGTCAGAACCAGCGGAAGCGCGATCCTGAATGAGTGCCTTGGCGGCTGCGATGGCGGCGGCGGCGCGGTCGATGACCTGCATCCGCTGAACGCGGTCGCGCTCATCGGAAGGGATTTGGAGAAGCTTGTTGAACTCGCTGGTCTTCTTCTCCAAATCGTCATGCACAGTGCCTCCGTGACGCGCCGAGGACACGCGCTCGGCGATTGTCTTGAAGTTCGCGCTCTTCCGCTCTCTCTGAACCGCCTTCTTCCACATCTCCAAGTAGGAGGTGTCTCCGTCTTCTTTTTCTCCTGTTGCTCCACGCGCCATCGCTCTCACTCGCGTCCATTCTCTGTTTCCGTGTTGCCGGTGAAGGTGCACCCAACGATGTGGTGCACCAGCGGCACAAGTTCCGAAATGCATTGAGAGCGAAGCGTGAGTGTGTGAAGAAGATAGCTGATCGGAAAGGAGAGTGAGTGAGTGAGTGAAACTGTGAAAGTGAAATGTGGCGCTGAGAGTATTTATACGGTGTTGAATGAGAGGGAAGGGTAAAATGGTGAATGTCAATTTTGTTAATAATGGCGAATTTTAAGGGTTTTTATTTAATTTTACTTTTTTAAAAGGTTAGGGACATTTTCTTTGTCTTCAAGCGAGGAACCCAACCCCGTATTATTAGGGTGTTCCATAAACTTTTTCCAAAGCTTCCTATTTAGTTTCTTTTTCATTTTAATTTATTTTTAGTTTCACATTTTATCTCCTTAAATTTTTATTAATATATATATTACTTTCTGTGACTCTCGTTTTCCGTGCATGGTACGCTGCTTAGGTTTAAGAAAATGAAAGCAACGGATGAAATCACGTGAAAGCTATTAAAGGTTAAAAAGGTAATAACAATGTTGATCTTGAAGGATGAAAACAGTTGCATCTTACATCTTTTGTTTGCCTCACCATTACAGCTATGACTCCCTTTGCCACGTGGCGATTTAAAGACATGCAAAAGAAATCCCATGGTGTGCGTTGGAGTGTTTCAAACACTTACATCTGTTTCTCCATGCATGCAAAGTTAAGAACATTTTCCACTATTTCATGTAATCAACAACATACAGCATTCGAGAACAACCACGACCAAAACAAAAACACAAGAATGTCTTCGTCAATGTCTACATTAATCTCATCCTCTCTCTCACAAACCCTCAAAATAAGAACCCTAGTTATTCCTCTCTCTCCCCACACCCTTCTCACTTCCAAAACTCCACCATCCTCAATTTCCCTCACAAACATGTTCAACCCACAACCCAATGAAATACCCCAACCGCAACGGGTCCCACCCGAGATCCCTTCCCTGCCAAAGGTTCAACCTTCTCCTATTCCCAGTGAGCAACCCGTCATTCCTACCCGTGACCCGGAAACCGACCCGCATGTACCACCCGAAATAGTCACTGATCCGGCTCCTGGCCACCCGAATCCCAAACCGGATGCCCCAAAACCGCCGCTGACCCCACCCGGGATTGAGATTCCACTGCCAAAGCCGCCTGAAAAGATGCCAAAGCAACCACCGGAAGTGGATCCACCGCGGCCGCCGGAGATTCCGCCGCCACCAAGTGCTCCGCCGGATATAACGCCACCCACTGGACCAAGAATCTTTGGGTAGAACAGAAGCATGGATAGTATGATGAAGAAATAGTTATTAAGTTTTTTATTTATTCTATCATTTATATTATATCCTACCAATATACTGCAGAGTGGTGTTTTTCGTAAATAATATTACATAAATGTTTTCTGTATTTTTAATTTATATTGTAATTTTGTTGTAGGTGTACACTCTTTATATTAAGTTATACAATACGTAAAGTGTAAATTTTGTATTGCTTTTCTTTAATAAATGAATAGTTGTCGCGACATTATCCAACAATATAAGAAATTGTTGTTTTTCTTTAATAAATGAATAGTTATCGCGACATTATCCAACAGTATAAGAAACTGTATTTGATGGAAATAGTTGACTAGGTGTAATCATCTCTATCTTTTTTTTTTGTTTTTGTTAACATCTTTTATTTATTAATTAATTAATTAATTTTTGTTCTATTTTATTTAAAATTATTTTTTCTATTTTAGATTATTGAAACATTTTTATAATTAAGGTAATCAACTTCATTTTATTTTGTCTTCCTATCTTAAATTAGTGAAACATTCCTATCAAGTAATTAACCTCATTCTATTTCTCTTCTACGTATAAAACACTTTTAATAATTTATTAAGTAATATAACAAATTTATATAATTTATATATTCAAAAATTAATATTATAAAGTTCTCTTAAAATTTTCTTTTAAGCCATATTTGATAGTTTTAACCTTTTTTATATGGTATCTCTTCTGTTTAAATGTCCATTATTTATCTGGTATCTCTAAAGGGTATTGTCTACGCATATATGCGTATATTTTTTTTTAAATTAACAAAATATTAATGTAAATTATTGTTTTCGTTAAAAAAAATTAAATAATTTTTTTAAAATATAAATTTCAAAAAATATTTTATAAAATAACTTTAATTTTATATGTCTAAATAAAAAATATATATAATTTATTTTTAAATAGTATTGTATAATTAATATTTTGTTACCAATAATTTTATTTTGTCACTTGAATTTATAAAAGAATACTTCATAAATTTTATTAATAATAATTGGTGAGTACATTATACATATACATTTGTGTTTTATTTTAATAAAGAATATAAACACAAGTTTATATTTTGTTTCATTACTTAAAACAAATTATGTTTTTAAAATTCTCTATTTTTTCTTTAAAGTTTCAATTCTTGAATTATCTATCTGACTATTAGGATCCACCTAAGATCCACGAGACAACAACCAGAGACAATAAGGTTTACGTTTCTACCCGATCAATTTTTCAATAAAATGAGTAAGTTTTCATCCTCTTTTCTTATTAATTGTCTATGATCATGTTAGGAAAACCTCTTTGAATGTGTTCTTTTCCTAGTTCTTTGTCAATTTGTGGTCCTAAAGACTTTTTTTTATCATAATTTGGTGATTCGTTGGTGTTTTTAGAGTTCCTTGTGCAGGGTGTGTTCTAAGAGTTATATAGTTTTAGTGTAAGGTAAGGTAATTTCAGTATAAGGTAAGGGAAGTTAGATATTAAACTTTAATTTATCTTTATTGTATAGGTTTGGTACTTGCTAGTATGTTAAATTGACTTATCTTACAAATTTTGATATTGTGTGAATGATTATTCATATGTGCTTGTTTGAGAATTGGTTTATGATTAAATATTTTGGGATGTATTTAAGATGATGAATTTCATGTTATGAAGTTGTGATGATGGTTGAAACAGGCTAAATTGTGCAAAGGCTAGTGAGAGGTTAAAATTATATGTTTTATAATTGATTTAGTAGGTTTGAGGGGGTGAATTATGGAAATCTAGGTTTAATGTGATGATTGATGGTTTAAGATAGTTTATTTGCTCTTTAGTAACTTAATTAGGATGAGAGTTGGTTTATATGTGGTTTATAATGGAATGGCAGTGATTTTAGCATGTTTACAATGTTGTTTTAAAGGGATTTAGAGGTTTTAATAGGTGAAAGTTTAAAGGAAGTAAGTTTAATGTAAAACAGAATTTTTAGGTTCATCATTAAGTGATTTAAAACTGATTTGAACTTTAATAATGGTAGGAAAATTGATGTAAAACTCTTTAGTAGTTGATATGTTGAATTGGCTTGAATTGTAACTAGTTTTATGGGTTTTGATGAGTGAGATTTTGAATTAGAAGGTTTAGGGTAAAAAGGATGATTTGAGTCTGTCATTTATGACTTGTTTGTACCTTTGGTTGATTGAAATTGGTATTAGAAAAAGTAGAAATGAATTTGGGTAGCTTAGAGAAATTGATTTGGTTTGAAGTGGCCATATTGAGTTAGAATGGTCTTTTCTGAGGTTTCTCAGTGTCAATAAAGTCTAAGGGATTAGTTGAAGTGGTGTAGGAAGTTCCCCAGGTCATAGAAATAAAGTTTCAAGTTTTGATATGGCGCTGAGCGCCTCTGTCATGGCGCTTGAGTG